AAATCAAATGCTTCCAAGACTGGGAAGAGGCGTGACTCCTGTAAGATAGACATGTGGCTTCATCCTATGTGATGAACATGTGGCTTCACCAAGCATCAGAAGAGCTGTCGCAGGAAGGATCTGACTCACTCTTTCTTGTTTCAAACTAAGAAGAAAGAAAGAACAGCATCCAAAGAGAACCACGTTTTAGTATGTTGTAAGGCAGATCTTTGCACAATCTAGAATGACTAAGCGAATGTGCTCACAGCTGGAAGATGGTGAACGTGATATCTCTGAAGTCTGCACGTGTAGCTTCTATGAAAAGACTTAAAGGGGGTTATTATTTCCATTTTTTTTGTATTTTACCAAAATTCACCAACTTATTAAGAGGGAGTTGTTGCTAGTGCAATACTGGAGGCATTGACAGAGCCGTTCGATAGGATTTCTATAGAGCTCTGACTATGCCCTGACTTCTCCTGGAAGCTGTCAATCTTGCTGGTTGTAGTGTTTGTTTTGGTGATATACACATGTCATGATATCATAGAAAGAAATTCTTTAACTAAAAATTCCTTTAATATCTTTAAATAACACATTTAGATAGAACAGTCATTCACCTCTGTACCCACAAATAAAAGTGGCTTCTTTGATCTACTCACAGATCTGAAACCTCTCTTTCAAATTAAAACCTTTATCATTCATAAAGCTTAACCTCAAGAAACACTCTGCAGAGCATTAGATAGTAGTGCTTGCTTTCAGATATCCGAAGTTAACACCATTCTAATAACTTTTTAAGTGGTTGCCAGTTTATTTTTCAGTGTGTGCAAATTGGAAATAAATTATTTAGTGCTTCTAGCAATTGCCTTTAACAGTTTCATTTATGTTTTAAAAATTCTCTTTAGTGGATCATAGAAATCTTTTACAGAATATATATTTATATATAACGTTGTCAGCAAGTCCACACATTTCAAGTAGGTTTCTGTGGATTGACATGAAGTGAGGCACTTCTCAGATCAGAGTGGCTTTCACGTGTAGCGCTGAGTCCCCTTCTCCTCCTGTTTTGGAACACTCATGTATCTGCAGGTGTGTTAAGGCACTGTGACTATGAGGACAAATTGATTTTATTTAGTCCATAGTATGCCAGAAGACGATTTAGTAATTTCTCTTGCAGAAGAATTTAATGTGCTTGAATTTAGCTTTATCAGCCATTAATTGAGTGCTAGGGGTCATGAAAATATGCTTTAAAAAAATCGTTGTCTTGTGATACATTGTAAAAGTTACTTTTGTCTTTTTACATTTGAAAAACTGTTTCAAGGGTGGTGCCAACAGCTCTTTAGGAAGTCTAGAAGAAGTACTAAGCTCTAGTTCCTTTATGGCCAAGAGTCGGGTACATCGTGTTTACAGCCTTGTGTTCCTGCATCGCCTGCATTACGTGTACCCCTAGACTGTCTCCACATTCTCTGGACTTCATGTTTTGCAGCTCTCTTCAGATGTTACCCCAGGGTCCTTCTGTTCCTTGAGGTTCTTAGCTGTCTTTTCTTATCAGGGCTGTATTTCTGACCTATAAAATCATTTTCTCAAAGGCTTCCTTTCTCTCCAACCAGACCAGCTCCAAATCTCCAGGCAAGATCCCACCTTCCCCTGTAGTTCTAATTCCCATAATCCACTTACAATGTCCACCTGACTTTCCTATAGGTACGTTAAACTTGGAAGCTACAAAGAGCTCAAGTTTGGTCCTTTTCCTGTGTTCCCTACAACAAGACTTTGCAGCCAACTTATAACAGAGGAACATCAAAATCACCTTCTTTCTTCCTTGCTTCCTACATCCTGTGAATATCTATGACCTTTTAACTATGGTTTAAGAGCTCTCATCTTCTCATTTTTTTAAGTCCATCTTGCTACCATTTTAGTTCTGTTTCCCTTTGGATTTCATCTGAAACAGATTCGGACTGTTGTAATTGGTCTTTGTACTCTAGAAATACATTCTTCAGATGCATGCCCTATTCTTAGTAATATCAACAAGAATGGCATTTGTAAAACACAATTATCACCATGTTTTTAAGAACATCACCATTACCTTTTCAGACTATTTCCAGATTCCTGGAGCTAGAATTCTGGAAACCTCGCAGCCATCCCTGGTACTATCATTTTCATTCCACAGCTGCCTGCCCGCTCTCTAGTACTGTCTTTCTGGCAAATACAGTTGTTTTCTGGATGGTCCGCTGCCTCTCTCGTCTTTCAGCCTGTCAGGTTCTTCATCTACAAAGATTCAATTTTTTTTATCTCACTTTCAAACTCCTGATCATTCTTCAGGATGTGTCTTATATGTGACTCCCTTTAGGAAACCTTTGTCATTTTGTTCTCTCCAAGAATGAATTATCTGTTCTTCTCCATGGTCCTTTGGAACATCTGTGCTCATAACTATTTCATATAATACCAGTCACACTCCATTGTGAATTCTTGTGTATCTTCCATTTGGTGACACTGGGACTGGTTTTGTTATTACAGTCATATTAAACAAGTCCTAGTTTGGCTGTGCTTCTTCTATAGCAATTATTAGTGATATCTTAGTCAATTTAAAGGTTTTGGTTGTTTTAACTAGTAAAAGAATGAGTGATTGATATTAGCAAACATGCATCAAACAATTTAAAGTATGATTTTAATATAACCATGTATGTGTGTGGATATACAAATACAGCTCAGCATAGCAAAATGTTGGGCTTGATAAGATGTATTATAACAGGAAATAGGACTGAAAACTTTCTTTACACAAATCTACATGAAGTAGGAAATTTTAAACAGTTTATCTGCCTATATTTTTGTGTCAGTAGAATAATAATTCTTTAGGCAAATATCTTGCATGCATGCCTAATTCTGGCTATATATTCTTTATTGTCTATACTAGTATTTTTTTGGGAATGGTTGTTATAAGATTGTAAAAACCATGATATTCTGAAAGTCCTTTAATAAATTCCTGAGACTCATACGTTAAGAGGAACATTTATGTGTTTCCGAAGTTCGCTCCCTGGAACAACTCTGGCCTAGGTATAACTTCCACAGTTTTGCAGGCTGGGAATGGAATATTAGTACGAGATTGACATATGTCCAAGATTGACTTTAGATTGCGCAACACATGTCATAAATATGAGTGCTTTTGAGAGTTGTGTTCACATTTCAGCAAATAAAGATGAACTGTCCCATTGCCTTCTATTTCTGTCTGTAATTAAGCAAACACAGTATTTATTTAATATGCTTCAGCCCATCATTAGATCTCATAACTGAGAATCTGTACTCCATTATTAGAATCAGTCTAACCAGAAGTAGGAGTTACATAGGGATAGGAGTAAGCAATGCATTGGAATTAAGAGAAAGAACATAAAATATGACTGAAAGCATTTACTATATACACTGCAGTCTTGGGACAAACAAAGCTCCAAGTATTGACTTTAGAATGGACGGTGGCCTTTAGCTACCTTTGTGCTTGGGGCAGTCATTGGGTTCATCACAATGCCATACTATACCAGGAATTTAAGGACCTCTCTAAAGGAACAATGGAATTCAAAAGCATAAGCAACTGTATTTTTCATGTTTGCAACACTTTTGAAATTCTTTTCTAAAAACTATAAATATTCAAAAATATATATTCAAGAATAAATACCTTGTTTTAGAAAAATGCGCTGTAGTTAACCACAAAAATATTACTATCAAACAATCTGGAAAAGTCATTCTTGTCTAATGTGTATGAGATAAATTTAAATATAAGTCTCAAAAATGCATGTGGAGGACTAAGAGGGTATGCTAGCGAGGTGAAGGTTCCTGAATCACAAAGTCAGACTGGTCTGACCTTCTGGTGGGGAGGGTACCTTTTGAAACTTCGGTTTCTTGGCTTGCAGAATGGAAATAGTGCCAGTGGCCTACTGTGAGAATTAAATGGATGAATTAATGTTTCGGCCTAATAGGAAGAACTAAATTTACTAGTGCTGTTATCAACTGTACTGTCTGGACCTTGCTACCAATATGTGCACTTTATTGTTTCTGTGAAGACCATATATGAAAAGAAGCTTCTGGTAGGTTTTCATATCTGTGTAGACTTGCTTCTATTGAACTCACCACTGGTCATGTTATACTAGAGTGTTGCTTGTGGATACACAGTCATTTTGTGTAACTAAGTTCTCAGCGTGTGTTTCTTCTGCAGGAAGGTGTGTTCATTTTCAATTTTTATGCTGTGGTTCTTATTTCACTTCAGTAAGAACTAAAATTGTAAATGTTTCTGCTGGCCTCTAAAGTGCTGAATCACAAACAACTCCAGCCAGTTGCTACTGTCTTCTTAAAGTGGAAGGGATGAGATTACCCTGACAAGAATATATTAGTATAAATAAAAACTATCTTCTCCCCAAATAGAACTATGTCTGCCCTGTCATATGACTGCACACATTCATGTACGAGAACTAGGAATTAGGAAAGCTTGTTTTGGATTCTGTTATGCTTAGTCATGAAGACAAAACGAAACACCAAGTTCTGCAGAATAAGGGATTTGGTTTAACTTAAAACAAACTAGGCCATTTGGCATTCTATTTTGAAATAGTGCAAAAATTCAGTTAAATTCAAAAGTTCCCTTCTTTTCTGGTTTTAACTAAACTTTTTTCTTCTTTTAAAGAGTTTTTTTTTTTATCTTGAAGTTGGCATGTTATAAGGAATAGTGTTAATAAGAGTATTGAATAAGATCTTAGCTTGACTTTTTAGCAGAATTGTCTTTCTCTGTGGTCCTAGCCCTGTGTGGATCTGAGCCAAGTTACCATGTTGAGGGAAGGCACCATGACTTCAGTGGTGTGATGGAAAGGGTTCATAATCAGGTAGAATCCAAGATTCAGTACTTTTTACTAAAGCAATTAGCATTTTGTTTCCTGACCCACAGCTGTAAAACTGTGAAAACGTACTGATTGCTTTAAAGAGCTGTGGAAAAGATTAAGTAGTCAACATCGCCTAGTTGACTTTTAATGATTGTTTCTTCACTCTTTTTGTAGAACTCTTGAAGTTTCCATCAGCTTTAATGATGGGAAGTCTGCCATCTCAAGATCCTTAACAGTCACAGCTACAGAATGTGTGAGTACAAAGCTAATTGCCTTTAGAAGACGTTTACCACGAGATAATAACCAAGGGAGTTCTTCTACTGTTTAGGGAAAGCACAAACCATGAGTAACCACGCGACAAGGACACATTTGCATAGAATTTAAGTTTTTCTTTTTTGATCTTTTTAAAAGGCTTTCTAAGGTGCTATACATTAGATTTCCATATTTCTCAAATCCCTCAAAGCCATACTTTAGATCAACATTAGGTCAGAGAATAGAAATGACGCATTCTTTTTAGGAGATTAAATATGGAAATTATTTTTTATTATGAAGATTAGAATTTAGTATCTAAGTGGCTGACCAGGTTTTGAAATTATTAGTGCGTCTTAATAGGTGACACCATCATTTTGTCCACAGAGATGCCGTGTGTGCTTTGTGATATAAGGAAGAAATCTGCCTCTGAGGGTTTGGTAACAGTTGACTTTGAAACTGTATTCCAGTTGAGGCTGATTTGCATCATCTAATTTATAGTACTTTAGAGACAGGATTTTCTTTTGCTGTAGTTAATTTTGTATATTGACAGAAAGTTTTGATATTAGACGGTTGAACATGGAAACAGGATGCTCTAAAATAGGTTTCCTACATGGCTATTATTTTATATGAACACACACACACACAGTCAAATAAAGAAAAACCAAGAAACCCTCTTTTTTTTCTTCTCTAAAAGACCAAAATAGCAAGCTTAATATTGTCTCATATCATGGTTTTTAATGTAGTTTTATCTATTAATTCAGGAGACACAAAATGCTGCCTCTGCATAAATATCTGTTTTTCACTATATGACATTGTTGTAGGGAAAAATAAGCATCCACATGCGCTTTTCAGCCCTTTGAACTCTCTGGATAATTTTCGTTAACATTTCTTTCTGTTTTGTAAATAGGGGTTTTGTTTTTTGGTTTTTTTTGCAACTAATATGCTTTGCGGATGTTGTAATTTTTGGTTTTCTGGTCTCACGGGATGTTGCTGATGGAGGTTACAGATATTTGTGTTGTGTAGTTAGTTTGCTTAGGGTTTAGCTCCCTGAAATGTCACTTTCTACATCTTCTTCCCCTTCTTTTCTAATTAATTAATTAATTAATGTTTTATAAAACCATTTCTTCTCATTTTATATATCAATTCCAGTTCCCACTCTCTCCCCTCCTTCCACTCCCTCTATCTCCCTTTCACTCCTCAGAGAGGGCAAGGCTTCCCCTGGGAAGTCATCAAAGTCTAGCACATTGCCCTAAGGCAGTATCAAAGCCCTCCTCCAGTATATCCAGGCTGAGCAAGGTATCTATCAAAAAAAGAATGGGCTCCAAAAAGCCAGTACAAGCAGTAGGAATAAATCCTGGTCCCACTCTTAGTGGCCTCACAGTTTGCCCCAGTCTTACAACTGTCACCCACATTCAGAGGGACTAGTTTGGTCCCATGCTGGCTCTTCTGCTGTCAGGCAAGAGTGGGTGGGCTCCCATTACCTCAGGTGAGCTGTGTCAGTGGGTATCCCTATCATGGTCTTGAGCCCCATGCCTGTATTAGCTCTCTTCCCTCTCTTCAATTGGACTTTTCAAGCTCAGTCCAGTGCTCCACTGTGGATCTCTGCATCTGCTTCCATGGATGAAGGTTCTATGATGACATTTAAGATGTCATCAATCTGACTACAGGGCAAGGCCAGTTCAGGCACCCTCTCCACAACTGCTTAGGGCCTTAGCTGGGGTCTTTTTTGTAGATTCCTGGGGATTTCTCTAGTGCCAGGTTTCTTCATAGCCCCATAATGGCTCCATCCATCAGATAGCATTTTTTTTTCTCTCCCTTTCTGTCCTTCCCCCATCTTGACTATCCTGCTTGCTCAAGCTCTCCTTTCCCCCAAGGCGAGGGACTGCTTCTTCCTCTTCTTTTCCCCTCCCTGCCACTTAAGAAATCTTTCTTCCTGGTAGGCAGGAAGACAGGTCTTTGTTTCTGTCTTATTGCTAAGAACTAGCTCCAGTGTAGGGGCTCTTAGGCCAGATGCCTCACCTGGCACTTAGAGGTCTGTAAGGCCATTTCAGACCAGCCTGGTGAGTTCTCAGGAGAGTTATGTTACTGGAGGTTGTTGAAGAAGAAAATGTTCAAAAAAAAAAAGAATATCGGTCATCAGTTGGGAGTGGAAATATTAGACCTTAAATAGAGGTCGAGATGATTCTCACTGAGGTGACATCTGAGTCAAAGCCTGGGAGATGAGGGAGTGACTTCTGAAGACCATGTGTGATAAGAAAGTTCTGTGCAGATGGGCAGCACGGGGCAGAGCCTGAGGTGGGACAGTTCCTAAAGAGAGTGGAGACAGGCCGGGAAAATAGGGGTCTTGGTGCAGAAGAATCAGTGGTGGGAGGTGCCGGATGATTGAAGCTGTGTGAGCTACTGTAAGGACTTGAGATTTCCTTCCTCGTTCCTTACCTTTGTCAGTATCTGTTCAAGCTTCCTCTCTGTCACCCATGGGCTACACGAGGACGTGGCTCATGTGTGGCCTTGGCACCCATATAGTCCAGTATTCAGTAGTGGGTAGCTCATCAAGTACAAACAGTTTAGATGAATGGAAGAATATTTTTAGATTTCTGTCAAATATATTGAATTTAAAAGAAATGGCATTCGTGTTGAATATCTATGAGGAGTTTTCATCTGGAGGTCTGCTTAAGGAGAGCATGTCTGAGTAAAAGTGAGAAACTTTTGGTTTTATGATCATGACTCAGATCTAGGAGTGACTAGACCTGGCTTCATCCTCTTGCTCATCTGGCTTCTAGGTCTGCACCATGCTGTCTGTTCCTAGGACTGTGTTTCCATTCTTGGCTTCTCCTTACTCTATCTAGGAAGTTATGTGAACAATGAAATGATTTCCTTTTCCTCACTGACCGCTCCATGCTCTGAGAACAACAAAGGAAACAGGAAAGCTGGGAATCCTATACAATGCACTGAGCCAGTGTCTATGATGAGGACAGACAGACAAACACAGCAAGGTCGGGCAGCTTTAAATCCTTACTTCCTCTGACCCTGCTTCCATCATGCTTGCCTGAAACAGAGGAGAGTGAACTTCACATTCTTCGGAACATAGGTACTCTAGCTTGAAGTTTTGAACAGTCTTTGGGATCAGTTATGATGCCAGGACCATCACACTAACCATCTATTTCTCTTGCGTGGAATTTTGTCACTATTACTGATAGAGGCTGTTAATTTTGAGGGAAAAAATGAAGGATTTTAAATGCCCATCTATGTAATATTCCAATACCCGGAAAAGGTCTGTGAGTTTCTGCTCATTGCACATGCAAAGAAATAGCAAACTAGCCCGTCAGTTCTAGCAGATTCCAGGCCTCTAGTTGCATTTTCTCTTTTGTGGAAACGGTGTAAATGCTAACTGGGGATCAGATGCTCACAGAGCTCTCTGTGACACTGAATAGCACAGTCACACCGGGTCTTTCTGTGAGCTGCTGGGCCTAGGTGGGAGTGGGGATTATCTCAACAAGACACGGCAATGGCTTTTGCTTCTCTGGGTGTATGCTATAGTTTCCCAGTATACTTCTGGGACATGCTTTTCCTGGTTGTTCCTGTTTGCCTGATTTTGTACTTAATTGTAACTGTGCCTGTGGCGGTAGCATCATTCGTTTCTGTGGCTTATGAGGAAGGAGGAAGAGCTTCCTATATTTTCCTGATCTACACTCTGTCTTCTGATAGCTTCAAGAAGACGGTATTTAGATGTTGGTCTAAAATCTCTATAAAATATTTTTTTATCTTTATTTTTCTTCTCTGTGCTCTTTCTCTTTTAAAACAAACAAAACCCGCAAAGACAACCAACTGAAACAGTTTCCCTGGGAATCCAGACTAGTTGGCTTTGGCAGAGGCACTAGTTTCCTCTAAATCCACTGAAAAAGTGAAAGTGTCTGTGTTCCTTTTGTTATGTGTGCCATGTGGAGTCTTACTGATTTCGAGTTCACTTTCTTGGTACATGGTTTGTAAACATTAAGCAAGGAGTGTCAGTGTCAAGTGGTAAGCTGATTGGAAACGGCCTTTGATTTCCCAGGAGACGTACAGTATGATAGAAAAATAGAATTAAATTTCCCAAAGCTCATAATTAATTCCATTGTATAAAGGCTACAATTAAAATCTACAGAAATTCTGCCTAAATTTGTCATCCAGTCCACTTAGTAGCAGTGGAATCCTAGGCGGGGTTCCTACTGGATGGAGCAGAAGTCATTACAGTGAAGGTTGCAGGCAGAGCCCAGAACAGCTGCCTGAAGGATGGAGGAGCTTTGCAGTCAGACAGTGAAGGTCTTGCCTGAGTCTCATGTGAACCAAGACTAGAAGTCACAGGTAGTAAGGACTCATCAGGCTGCCATTTCCATCTAGGCGTACATAGAAGCAGCCGTTGTGTTTTTCCTACTGACCCGTGTTTTGTCTCCTCTTCACCCTCCAAGTATGTAAAGCAATTGCTGTTGTATTGTCATAAAGCTTGGGGAAATTCTGTCTGGACAAAATTGAGCTTGGACCAACATAATTATTGCCTAAGCACAAAAGTCCCCAAGGCAACATTAGTTTAATCCTCAAAGGTTGTCGTTCTCACAGTCTTTTAAGACCGATTTTAATCTGTCTGTAGCACGTTGGAAGACATTGCATTATTGACCATCTTAACATAGCAGGTACACATTAAGTGAAATAAAAAGGAATTAGTAAAACTTAAAGGAATCTAACATAAGTTTGCCTTTTGTGCTCATTTTTTTTTTTCCTGCCTAGTATGTGCTTCCTTAGAAGAAAAAATAGCATCTGGTATTTGACCTTAAACTTACTCTTATTTTGTTTATTTTTCCTTCCACAGTCTAATGGGATTGCAGCCATCATAGTGATTTTGGTGTTGTTGCTGCTCTTGGGTATCGCCTTGATGTGGTGGTTTTGGCCCCTTTGCTGTAAAGTGGTAAGAAATTTCAACTCTGCTCTTGTTCGTCTTCTAAAGCAGTAAGATGCAAAGTAAGGCCCGGCATGTGGACAGATGCCATGGGGCCCAGCAGCAGTACAGCTTTAATTAGCAACTTGAATTTCAATTATTTTACATACAGTCAATTCTAGAAAACACCTATACCGCTCTCGAGCATAAAACTCACATCAGAGGCACTTCAGAACTCAGGTTTGTGGGACGGTATGTTGAGAGGTTGGGGGACCGTTGGGATGGAAGTTATTTTCACTCAAGTTCAAGAAAAGTTTGGATACATGGATGCCGGGTTCTGCTGGTGTCGTGAGAGCTGTGCTTTGGCAGCTGTTTCAAAAGAGCCTGAGTGTACTTCTTCAAGGATCCTTGGCATGAGGTGGGTTTGTTTGTTTTTACCTCCCAGCTGGAACATATTTTAGCACTAAATCCAGTGCAGAAGTTAGGCTGTCGGTCAAACACTTTAGAAACAGACGAGCAGCTTCGGTTTACGCTGTCTTCCTGTTTGAAGGAAGCCAGAGAGAAAGTGTGGTGGGGTGGGGTTCCCTGTTGCTGAGCTCCTGAGTTACCACCTGCTTGACTTGTAAAAGCGCCACACATTTTAATCTAATGATTACTTTATCACAGCCTCTACATGGGCTTCACTGGGTTCACCTGGGCCAGGGGAGGCAATGGGATACACACTTTTCTGAAGCTCAGGGCCAGAGTCTGTCATTTCCAGTTTGAAGAGGCCACTTTTATTTCTTGCCATGTGACCTCTTTTATCCATCCCCAGTGCCAGTACCACCGTGTCGTATCTCCTTGATCATCTGTACATATCCCTGTGACAGAATCCAAGTGGGGAAAGCTGCCAGTGTTACAGACCTATATATCCCAGTTGGACCCATTTGGATACTACAGGATCATCTTCCATCTCAGGGTTGTTAATCATCACACCTCCAAAATCCCTTTACCATGTAAAGTACTTTATTCACAGTACCAAAATTAAGTCACAGACATCTTTATAGAGGTATTATTCAGCCTCCTACGTGATAGTGCATAACTTATATACATTAGCATATTTCATTTAATCCCCTTTTATCTAGAGTTTAGAGAAAAGATTATCCCAGAAAAATCTTTCAGGGTGTTCCTATTACTTGTTGAGAGTGTTGCTCATGGAAGCAATGCTATCTCCATCTCCTGGGAGTGTTTAATATGACACAGTAGACTGTCCCCTTCCTTTCCCTTCCCCTTCCCCTTTGTTATCTGATTTCAGCTTCCCAGGATATCAGGCCTGGCTTTGTTTTCCATCTCCATCCCTTATGAGAGGCACCACAGTCTGCTGCCATGAGGTAGTCTCCCCATCCTTTATCTCAGGGTAGCTGGCCCACAGAGGAAGTACAGCATTAGCTAGGACAGCCGCAGAGATGACACTCTCCCTGTCTCTGCTGATCTCATCAAGGTCCTGCCACAGTAGCTTATGCTCAAACAGATTCCTGGTATAATCTTGATTATCTTAGATATGGCTATGGGGGGAGGTGGATGGCATTCTTGAGTCTCAAATTAAAAAGCAAAAAAGGTGCCCTAATGTGATTTGTGCTCCTTGAATTTTTAATTTAAATTTTACGGTGGCAAATTTACTCCCTTCATTAATTTATAATTTCATTTACTCTTGGTCACAGGGTGCAAAAGTGTCAAAGTGTGTGCTTGCTCCCTTAAAGATACATGAAAAAGAAATGAAATGACCCTTTTTAGGAAGTTGTTACGTTTTCTGAAATGTAGACTATAATCTTGGATATTAAGGAGGAGGTCCGAGCTGGTAAGAGCAGGTCCACTCTGACCCGAGGCTTTGCAGATAATAAACGATGGAATTACGTTTATGCAAGGCATTGAGAAGTCCCTCTAGTTGTTATAGGATTTCACAAAGAGTCCCTAGCTTCAAAAGGAGCACGATCGATCACTCATTAGTTCTGCAGTTTGTTTGACGGACGCAGCCACTTTCGCTTTGTTCTTAGAAGCACCTGAATGTGAACTGGAGTCACACCCAGGTGGAAGTGAACTGTAACAAGTGTGTTCTAGAGGAGGTTCAAAAGCTGGGGTAAGGCGCAGTCAAAGCCTTTTGTTTACCTTTTGGCAGATATGTTTTGATCATGTAGAAGGTGGCAGTCACTGTATTAGGAACTGGAGACTCATACATGCTTACAATATGATATGGAATTTCGTATGCCAATATAGAAACAAGGAAAGGTGAACTAGAAGTGTAGACGAAGGTCTCTCAGTACCCAATAGCCATAAAGAACATTTTTCAGAGGAGCCTGATTGAGTGTATGTTTTCAAACATAAAGAAAATATGTAATTAATGAAGGACCTTTCAGGTGTGTGTGTGTGTATGTATGTGCTTACTTTGTGGTGTGCTTTAAAAAGTGCTGAGCTGATTCCTAGTGTGGAAGACCCTCACGCAGAAGGGTTTCCTATGACTTCTAGAAAGTTTGCATTCACCCGAGAATGGGAAGTGGAGAGATTCGAGGGTCTTTGAGGACTGAATGATTTAGTCTCTTGCGATAGATCATCTTGAATAGTTTAGAAGGGATCTACACATAACCATAATTCTTAGGAGGGAAACTGGACCACAGAAAGGGAGAAGGTGGTGCAATGGAAGCAAGACCTGAATGGTGCAGACCTCATGACAAGGGATGTTGGTGTGGGGAGACGCTGGGAAGGCAGGGAGTGGTCCCACCATGGCCTGCAGAAGGAAGCGGTTGGCCAACAGTAGACCCTTAACCTCATGAGACCTAATTCAGACTCCTGACTTGAGACGTGAATAAAAACAAATCTCTTTGTTTTGAGTCACAGGGTTTTGAAGGTTTTGTTGTTGTTGTTGCAACAATAAGAAAATAATTATATTTACAGACTCATTCTGATATTCCCAAGTTGGAAATGACTGGTTAGGGTTATTGATTTTGAGAAGGCATGAGAAATGGCTCAGGGGTGAAGGCACTTGCCACCAAGCCTGTTGATCTGGGTTTAATATCAGTGACCCACAGTATGGAAAGACACAACTGGCTCCCAAAGGTTGTTCTCTGACCTACTTATTCGCATTATGATACAAAAATAAATAGATAAGTGTAATAAAATTGAATAAAATAGAATAACCAGGTTTTGGTTTGTAATGCATAAGACTTCATGTACCGAATGGGACTGGCTTACTGTCTCAGAGAGAGATGAAAACAGAATGAGATTATATTTCTTAGAAATATGCTAGACACGTGTATTGCTTGCATCATCTGACAGGTTCCCCAGGTTGCTACTCTTTGCAAGAAGTGTCCAGCATGGTTTCATTCAGATGCAGGTGTGCAGCTGTTGGCCTTCCTGAAAGCTAGGGACTGGTGTTTTGCCCTGCAGAGGACAGCAGTCCCCAGGATGGTTAGCTACATACTGTCTCTGTGAAACTAGGATATACCCGGTGAGCTGTACCAGCCTCATCCCAGGACTCAAGGAACAAATGAAATCCAGGAGCATCACTTCTAAACTAGTTTATACTGGTCCTGGTGAAAACGCACAGTGTGAAGTAGTACTTTTTTTGGTGATGTGCGAGTAAAATTATACCTAAGCGAGCATTTAGCATCATTATTTTCTTAAAAATCTACCCTCTAGTATAGCTCAGAAAGTTTGTGAAAACAGGCAGGCATTGTGTTACTCGTTGAAAATCTTCCCAGTGATGTAAACAAAGAAACAAACAACATGCAGATATTCACTGGGGCATCTTCCTGAACTACCTCATCTCCAACACTGAGAGACATGCTGTCCGTGTCTCCCACAATCAGCTTTAAAACAGAGCGGGCTCTTGCTCATTGTTGCAGAAGTTCCGCTGGCTGTGGAAACATTGTGCTCAAGGGGATTTGTTACCCAGGGTGCCTGGTTCTTTGATTTTCCCTGAAAAGTGTCTCTTATAAATGCATACAAAATAGAAAAGATACATTTTGTAGACCCAAAGAATCACACTTACTTTTTTTATTATAAATAGATAAGGTAATTATTTCCCAGGTCAATCATAGTTTCCCTCCCTCCTCTCTTCTCAGTCCCCCCCCCCAACCTCCGTTTCCTCTCACCCCATATCCATTCCTCCTCCTTTCTCTTCAGAAAAGGGCAGCTCTCCCATGGGCATCTCTCCAGCCAGCCATGGTATATCAAGTTGCTGGAAGACTAGACATCTCCTCTCCCGTTAAAGTTGAAAAAGGCAACCCAGTAGGAGGAAAGGGTCCCAAAAACAGGTAACAGAGACAGCCCCTGCTCCTACTCTTAGGAGCCCCACGAGAAGACCAAGCTATACAACTGCAATATATGTTGTAGTAGGAGGAGGAACAGTCTGTGTCCCGCCACCCAGCTAGCTTAACCCCCGAAATAACCACACAAAAATTGTATTAATTAAATTACTGCTTGGCTCTTTATTTCTAGCCTCTTATTGGCTAACTCTCCCATATTAGTTTAACCCATTTCTAATAATCTGTATATCACTACGAGGTCATGGCTTACCGGGAAAGATTCTAACCTACATCTGTCTTGGGCCAGAGATTCATGGCATCTACCTGTCTCTGCTTTCTTCCTTCCAGAATTCTGTCCTGCCTTCCCCACCTATCTGAGGGCTGCCCTATCAAAAGGCCAAGGCAGTATCTTTATTCAACCAATGAAAGCAACACACAAACAGAAGGACCTCCTACACCAATATGTGCAGAAGAACGAGGTCAATCCCATGTAGGCTCCATGGCTCAGTCTCTGTGAACCCCTATGAGCCCAGGTTAATTGATTTTGTGTGTTTTCTTATGATGTCCTTGAGTCCTCTGACTCCAACAATTCTTCCTCCCCCTCTTCCTCAGGATTCTCCAAAGTCTGCCTATTGTATGGCTGTGGTTCTCAGAATCAAATTCCTTAATTGTAATAAAATCTGAAGTATAATCAGATTTTAAATGTAATATATTTATAACTATAATTTTGTGTTAATATTGTTCATGTAC